CACCGGTTTAACCACCACTTGAAGAAACACCGGAAATGGACAGCCTTTCTTGCTTTCTTAGTTTATGGGCGGCGTTCTTCATTTTATGGGTCGGCGTTTTTCTCGGTTTATGGATCTGCATTCTTCGAAATTCTCAGCAGCCCTGAAGAATCGTCCTCGTCCTGGAAAAGGAAGGCATGGATTGACCTAGATCGCATTAATGGCGATCGCAATGCCTGTAAGGTGCCCAGACAGCACAAGTCGGTATCGGTAACCACGTGATCGACGTAAAAAAAAAAAAGACGAGATCATTATCGCCTCCAGAAGGGGCCGAACGGTAGACTCGCCCTGCGAAGATGGTCGTGTTACCACTGCCACGGGAGGGGGGGGGGAAACACGTTTGTGATGCTCAAACTCCGCAGATTCAGGAACTGGATAGCTAATAATGTTAAAACGACTAACCCCTCGGTAAAGATACCAAGTGAGACTCATCCTTTGCATGGAGTAAAGACGGTCGGTTCACCACGCGAAGGGATCGCGTTCCATAATCGCGACGGCATGGCGCTCGCCTCCGCATCCTCCAGTGCCGGGCGCCCACGCGGAAATGGCGCGAGGTCTCTTGACCTGGCGATTTCACCCGGAGCAGAATACATTGCAGGTCTTAGGAGCGATCCCCCGGCGAGGACGGTGAAGCGTCCTCGGAGCGGAGAGGTCGTCCGGGCGAGTCTCGGCACTCTGGGCAATCGTCCGTGCATCGAGAACGAGGTCAGTTCAGAGATGACGTCATCGCTCCCTATATGTAGCCTAGAATTCGATGGGGTTCCGTAATCACTGCTTACCGTTGGGCTTTACCTTACGTAATTTAACGTCAGGCCCAACGCTGGATAGGCGAATCAGGCATAAATCGCGGGCTGTCATTCCATTCGGGTTTCTCTCCAAACTTTCACTTAGCCTAACTTTTGGTTAAGCCTGAGACTTACGCTCGGGCCCAGACCTTGGTAGAATTTTGAATGCGCTTGTGCCGGGTGGCCATGCAGTCTGGAAACAGGATATACACAGTGTACTACGAGAATTTTGGAAATGTCAATTTACTTAATCGGGTTCATCAACACTTCAAACGTCGCCTTCAAATCTGTATCAATTCGACGGAACATTTAGAACATGTATTTTAGTTTATTTGTAAATTATCTTAATATATCTCTTAATACGATCCTGTTTCCAGACTTCATGGCCACCCTGTAGAAGAATGAGACGACGCTTGGGAACTTTTCGAAATAAAGTATCGATATCACGGCATGTACTCGTCCCGAATCCAGCTACAAAACCAGAGTACCAGCCCAGTTACAGATCGGCCATTCCAACGGCCCCGATGCCATTGGAATCATCTTCGTCGTATCCTAGCCCTCCAACCTTGAAATAAATAACAGCCGCCATCGGTACGGCGTAGGCCTATATGAAATGGCCCAGACGACTAGAGAAGTTCTCGATGGTTCGCGCGTCTGCGTCGCGTGGAGATGGGAGGACAGGTTCAGGTGTAGGATGCTGGATGCGGCATTTCGCACCTACGCCGAGCAACCCTGTATGCGTGGCCGCGAGCAGCCCTCTCTCTAATTGTCCACCGTCCGTCGTCCACGAGGGTTGGAAGGGAACTGGATGTTTTAGTCGTAGACTGATACCCCGACCAAGGAGGAAAACTGGACATGCGCTGTGAGTCTTGTTGTCCGGTTGCTATGGATGATGCGGAGAGACGGAATAATGATTTTAAAAGGTGACAGACCGATCGCAATATCTGCCATTTCCTAATAGTACCTATGAGAATGACAGATAATGATTCAGAGTCAAAGGCTGATTCCAAAACTGCAATCCGGTCACAGTTCGATTGCAATTCAGTTCCAGATTTAGTTCGGTTGTTGTTCCGGGGATTTTGTCATGTGCGTAATTGCTAAGATCACAGTGGACTTCAGTCGGGCCAAATTCTGAACTGAAACTAGAACCGAACTGCAACTGAGCTGCCGTTTTGAAACCAGCTAATGTCCCTCGCGTCGGTGAAGTTCCCACTGGGGTTTCACCGCAGGAAGGGAGATTCCTTCCTGAAACGAGTACTAACCAATAAGCGAAACGGGTCTCGAATGACTCTCGGGCGACCCAACGGTTGAAAAAACAAAATGGAGATTGCGCATTGTGCAAGAAATGTTACGCAGGAGAGAACATGGATAAGACAGCGAGGAGGACATTCGGCGATGTCCAGAGCGCGAACACTGCATTCACCAGGACGAAGACGGGAGGAGCAGGAGGTCACTGGAAAGGGAAAGCGGGTGGATGACTGACCATCCGCAGCGTGTCATTCTTGATCCATTTTTTGCCCCGAATGCTGAAAATAAAATGAGACCATGAAAGATGGTGCTACACGAGCACCTGCAGCCACCAGCGACGACAATTGCGACGGCGTTTCGCAGGAGTTTCGATCACGTTATGCGAATAATCGGCTCATGAGATAGCAGTCCATTTGTATTCTTAAAAAAAAGAGGGGGGAAGAGAGGGAAAAGTCAAGAAAGTATATTCGATACCATTAGTAAGAAAGAAATCTAGAATTCCATTCTGTTTTTTTTTTGTATTGTCATTCTGTGTTAGAATCTTCTAATAGTTTTGCTATTGGGCGATGCGTTTCTCAAAAATGATTCAGATTTTGCTAGCTCTGGTGGCACGCACGACGGCTGTTTTCTGCCTTACTTGCAGTGCACAAAACTTCCTGTTGACGATAACTTTCCCTTAAAGACCGCAAGTTCGTGGCTCTTTCAGATGCCGCAACCATAAAATATATATTACGTTATCAGCACGGATAGTAAAAGCAAAATCATTTCAGTGGCTTGTATCACCATTTCAGAAAACTAAAGGAGAAGGAAACTGAGATAAAAGAGGCGAGAGTTTGACACATGACCCCGAAAAAAATCCGAAATTTGCGCGGTTTCGTTATGTTTGAGGATAGAACGTACTTGCGTCTAAATGGTTTTTGTATCCACATTCGTTCCGAACGAACAGGAATGCTAAGCTGAAAGGAATCCATTTGCGGAAAAAAATTTTAGAAATGAAAAAAAAAAAACAAACCAGGAAACTGGTACTAATCTTAATCACGTTTCCTTGCAGGCATTCTGGATCTCTTTAAACATGCCGCTTACATTCCGAATGTTGACTTTTTTTTTCAAGAGTTTTCATTCCAAATCGACATGGAAAAATGATATATGTTTGTGCTGACGAGCGCCAAAGAATCTTCTTGATACTGCAGATTCTTTTCTTTTCCCCCTGGAAAAAAAAGAGGCTACGAGCACATTCGATTCTTTCATGGCCTTCCTGCAAACCATTCTCGGTCAAACCGGGGCTGCTCAAGTGGAAATATATTGTGCCGAAATCGACTTTCGCCGAAACCGAAAGCGAAAGATTAGGTTCGAATACCGTCATTCGAGAGTCCTCCTTGCATTCACATTCAGACCGCATGATGGTTTCGAATTCTTAGAATTCTATCGGTTTCATGAAAACTGATTCTTAGAATTCTATCGGTTTCATGAACTGATGACTCGTGTGCCAGCGTTCGCGTGCGGCTTTCAAAAATCCCATTCCAGGAAGTTCGCAGGCGCATCGAAGCGGGGAAGATTCCCAGAAGACGCGAGGGGCATCCCAGATGAAGGTACTGAAACCTTCTTCAGGCGAGAGAAAGTGAAGCTGAAGGTTTTTTTTTTTATATGGCCGGGACCATATCGTCCTCAGAGTCATCGGGTTCGGCGAAGCGCGGTGCTTTTTCTTCGATGTTCACGTAGGCTCCTCTGTTAGTGACATCAATAATGGTCAGACCCCCGTCGTTGGCCGACGTTGGCACTTCTGGACCGAAATAAAAGCCAGATCCACGGAAGTGGTTTGCGATGGTCTCTGCCTTAACAGTCAGACAGCTCTTAACCACAAAAGACACGGCGAAGAGGGGCGAGGGAGTGGGCGGAAAAATCAATTTGGGACCGACAGCATGAGTTAATCTCTTCCTTGCCCCGATAGAGAGGATTTTCGTCCCGAATATACGGCGAAATTTAAATGCACTTGCATAGAAATGGTTCCGTTCCTGACAAAATGTCCCGATAAACCGGCTGCCCTCATTAACCGATGGCCCAATAAAGCGGAATCCACTGTATTTATTGAGAATGCCATCCATCCAATTTTTTTTATCAGACCTCTTATAAGGCACGCCCAACCCCCCTCCCCCCCCCCAAAAAAAAACTCAAAACTAAATTCCAACAGCATCATACACCAATGCCACTAGCCAGACTCTGCAAGTTCACACAATTTCATCTGCTGCATATTGAACCAGAGCAAAAACGCATTAACTGAATTTGCCAATGAAATACCATTGAATTCGTCTTGATGAAATGGTGCGCATGTTCGGGATCTCAATTAAGGGCAAAGACAATCACTGAAATTACCATTTAAGAAAAGTAGTGTCCAAAACATACACCACTGAAACGTCTGGCAAATATTTGATAGCTTAGAATCGCTTCCATGCTGTAGTATGCCATTTCACGCTATGGGCAGCAGTCGCCTTTCACTAAGACGTCTATTTGTACCTTGAAATTAAAATGGTTGGAAGGCATCATCTCAATAAGTGGTATGAACACATTACAACTAATTTTAATAAGGTGCGTCGAAAAGAAATAACATTCCGAAAGGCTGTCGAACATCAGCCACCAAGACATGCTATCCCGATAGTGATCCAGCGATTCCTCGATCACCAGCAGGAGAAAGCGAAACCCGAACGGAATTGACCAGGGTCTGGAATTGATTCCTGCGGTCGTCGGCAAGAAACGAGATTACCTCGCACTGAGAGAGTATGAGACGGTTAGGAATCTATTCTACTCGTATCGGTTGGAAAACTCAACAATTACATCTGATGAAATTGTATGCAACATCATCGAAAACCTTCACGAAAATCAAAATATTTTTATATTCATCCAAGAATAGAAGTTCTGGAATCATATTTTCGAGTGGAACATCACAGCCAAGATTCAAACAGACATTCGAACGCTGAAACCCATTGCTACGATCGACCATCTCTCCTCGGGAGTCGCGATCTTCAACTTTCACTTCCGCAATCGTGTGAAATTAGACACATTTTTATGAACAGCGAGCGGGGAAGAGCAGAGGATGCCGAATTCTTCTGTCGAATTCCTTTTCTTCTCAGTCTTTTCTACATTCTCGGCTTCCTCGACGTCCAAGCGATTTTTCGTCTGGTTTGAGTCCAAGCCGAACGCTGCCGGTCATCGCGAACTCTTCCACGCGGTTTCGTATCGAATGTACGTGGACGCGATGGAACCGGGACCGACTGCATGGAAAGCACGGCACAACGGTACCGAACGTGGGAAAAAGAATATATTTTCGGCTCAACACGTCCATCTCTGGTGAGCGAAATAGAAAAAAAGATGGGAACAACGAATGCAGTGAGAAAAGCGAGAGGGATCTGCGAGTCCGTCCACAGACTTTGGCAAATGGATATCATGCACGGAATGATACTGGCAGAGCACTTTTCCTCGCACGACACAGACGAGAACCGCGAACGTTTTCTTTTCCGCTTCCCATTCGCGAGAGACTCGATCTCGTCTTCGTTTCATTTCCGTCGAGACGCTCGGACGTAGAGGGCCAGGAAGGCGATGATGCGAAACGCCCCCATCAGGGCCAACAGCAGCAAGATGTCCCGCACCTCGTTATCCTACACGAGAACCACCCGCTTTCACCAGCTCAGACTAATTACTTAATTAACGAGCGACGAGATCCGAGGAGGATTGACCTTGTCGAAGTTGAGCGAGTCGAGCACGGCCTCGCCGTCGGGCGTGCACGAAGGCGAATCCCCGCACTCGATCCCTTCCACGCCTTTCCATTGGTTGATCATCAACGCTTCGTTCCCGTAGTAGAACCACGAGATGTACTTCAGCCAGACGAAGTACACCGGAACTGAGCTGTAAAAGGCAACAAGACAGAACACTCGTTTTATGAATCGGAGCAACTCGATTCGGCGATTCCGGTTTGCAATTTTTCACGGACTTGGCACTGACGACAACCATTTTCGGAATCTCTATAGACGTTTTAAATCTGTACAGTTTCAGACAAGTTTCCAGTTTTCTTCAGTTTGCTTTTGGCTTTCAGCAAAGGAATATTTTTGTTCCCATTGCCTTTTTTTCCAACTCGTCTTCGCATTTAAAAAGTACTAGTAAATTGTCAACATTTTGTTTCCGTCAGCACGACCATGAGTACTGCAACGTTACATGAATTACTTCTTCGTCTGCGCTGCTTGAATGCCCGCGAGCGAATGAATGAAGAATGAACCCGGAGAATCCCTGAAAACGAAATGAGACGGTGTATAGGGTGCTTCATGAACACACGCCGCAGCGACGAGGATTGCGAGGCGTTTCGCAGAAGCCCTGGCTTTGTTATGCGACTAATTATTAGCTTATGAGGTAATGAACACTTGAAAAGCAGGGGGAGGGTGAAGCAAAGAAAGTAAATGCCGTTACTAATACGTAGCTTTCGACTGTTTCAGGTTCTGCAATTCACTGGAATATTTATTGGACTGCTCGACGCTTCGTTCTCGTAGTACAAAGGGTCAAAGGTCAAAGGGTCTCGTAGTACGGGACAAAGACGAAGCGTTTGCAAACTTGGGCCACGTGGAAACGACAATTCGAGTTGCCGATTTTCAACGGACGAAACACAGGAAAATTTTACCCCGAAGGAATGTCACAATGCTTTACATTATGGGATTAATACTAGTTTCCATGAAAAATACCCAAGACTTGCGAGAGGCTCGTTCCTGCCAAAATATCGCGACACTCTCATGTGCCGCAAATCTGCCTGTCGCATAGTGAATCTTCTTCTTCCTTAAAGTTGCCCGGCGAATTTCCCTGAAAAGAATCCATACGTACGCGTTGTTGAGGAAGAATCCGCCAAACATCATGATGGGGACGATGAAGGGTGGAGCCAGGGATAAAGCCATGGTGACGCTGTTCGCAATACAGGAAATCATGTAACCTACGCGAAAAAAAAAACAACAAAATCCACTCCGATCCAAAATAAACCGATACAGCACGAAAAAAAAAGCAATTCGTTACCGAAGGAACAGGAGACGTTGGAGACGATGATGATGATGAGGGTGCATACGAGGAAGCGTTCCACGGATTCGTTCAGGCCGATCATGAAGTAGGCGACGGCCGAGAAAATGGTCGGGAAAAGGATGAAGAACGGCAAGTCGGCTATTGTCTTGCTCAGGAAATACACGTCTGTTCGATACATCCCGCTCTGATGTTCCCGCAGGAAGATTGGCAGCTCTTGGCAAAACACCTGCGCGAGGACCCAATAATAATAATAAAGTATATGAGAAATACTTATATTACAGAAACTTTTAATTTAGAATATAAAAATAGAACACCGATCGAATTTAGACAAAAAATTAAGTACAGGGTGGGGCACAAAAATATTTCACATTTCATTAACCTGTATTTTCATTATTTAATATGATAGAAAATTAAATCACGTGTCATCTGACAGGCAAACTCAAAGAATTTTTTCACCGTTGAAAGACATACTCAAAGTGCGCACCGTTCTTTCTCTCTGTTACGTCCAGCAGTGTTTTAAATAGCCTTATTCGGTGTTTCTTCCGTTATGCCTCTGAGCGCCGTAACCACAAAAACGTTTGAGTTCACAACGGTGTGTGAATTTGTGGAGGACACCTTTTCTTAAAGGAGATCCCATTAAAAAAAATGACGGTCTTGGATGACGAGATGTTGCAGGCCACGAGATGTCCCCTCTCACACTCACAAAGCTTTCTCTTCAAACTTATCAACGATCTTCTCAATCGTTGGACTAAATAGAGAGAGGTGTTTCATCAAGAAAAAAACGGAGCTAAGGGTGTTCATCGTGCATATATTAATTGAAATGCCTTCACCTGCTACTGTGAAGAGAATGTAGACGACGGCTTCCTGATAAAACGTCAAATCAATCAATCAATCAACGATTGAGAATATCGTCGATAAGTTTGAAGAGAAAGCGTTATCAATACGAGAGGAGACATCCCGTGGTTAGCATCATCTCCAGACAGCTAGATTTTTTTCTAAATGGGTAAAGAAGAGGTGCTCTCCACAAATGCACATACCTTTATGAACTCAAACGTTGGTTGGTTACAGGGTTCGGAGGCATAACACAAAAAGCCACTGTTGAACGTTACAGACCGATTATCCAAAAGAACGCTGAACACTTCAAACAACTCTTTCGGCATAAGGAACTTATTGAGTTTGTCTATCAGATGACATGTCATTTAATTTTATAACTTGATAAACAGGTTAATGAAATGTGAAACACTTTTGTGGGCCACCCGGTATAAAGGTAAAAATGAGACACTGCAATAAACTTGCATTCGAATGCAAGACGGACTCACATTGACGACAGCAAATGCATTCTGAAACGTCATGTTGGTGAGGAAGAGGAAGAGGGCCCCGTTCAGATTCATCACGCCCTCGGTCGTGTAATCTTGTCTCAGATATATGATTCCCAGCAGTACAGCCACCATCTGCGAGAGGAAAATCCCATCAAATATTAGCGCGGGGGAATGCGTTGCCAGAGCGAATTAGCAGGATCAAATTGGCATTTTAGCATTTGGCACGATGATGATTAACATTCGATGTCGACTGTTCCGTGCGTGAATCTTGCTCAGCGGTTCCTAAACGGGTCGCGAGAAATCTGCCGTTGAAAGAATATGCTTGTATCTTGGAAAGAACCCGTCTTGAATCGATTATCCTTGTCAAGGCTAGGATGCGCAAGTCTCACAAATTTGGAACGAGGGGGGAAGGTAGGAAACGGTTGTCGGTTATGAAAAAAAAAACGTAGAACAAGCATAGAAATCGGTCATTTTGATTTGTCCCTAAGAAAAGATTTGTCCTCCATTCGCTTTGAGGAGGGCTACTAAAAAAAAAAAAAAAAAAAAAAAACAGAAAAGAAGGAAAAAAAAGAAAAAAAAAAGAAAAAAAAAGTAAGAAAAAGAAAAAAAAATCGCATCTGCCGTTGGCCAATCGGCATGGAAAGAACGTCGCTGCTATTTTTTAAATTTCGCGATTTGGTACGAACGGAGCCTGGAATCGTCCGAGAGTCTTTCAGACACGAAACAGGCAAAGGTCCTTCGCTTTGAAGGTGGATTTCGATCCGCGGAAGTCCAGGTGGAAGTCGTGGGGCATTCCGCCTGGAAAAAGCCGGAATTTTATTGCCATTCGACTCGAGAAATTATTCTGTGGAGGATGTCGGTCCGTGGTCGACCGGCTGTGTCGCTTCCCCCGGAGGCACTCGCGGAAGCCGCGAGGTCGAGCCGCTTGGGGGCGCAGGCCCGACATCTTATGGACGTCAGAACAATAATGGTTCCCAAAGCCGGGGAGAGATGGCGTTTGGATCGTCGTCGCGGCGAATCTCCAGCAGATCCGGCCGAAACGAATTTTCCGCACTTTTCAGATGGATTTCCGAGTGATCTCCTTGTGAATCTTCAGGAAAGACAATGGAAATCCTCATTTTTCTCAAGATGCAATCCCAGGGAAGGGAGATTAATTTCAGTTACTTAACTAATTTCAATTAAAGTAATATATTGGGTCGTTCAATGGACGCGTCACGTAGTCGAAGTTTTCTTTCTCTTTCCCTGTTGTGACCGCTTTCATCCCTTTCACCCGTTTCGTCCTCGCCTTGGGGCATGTGCCGCTCACCTTGGGTCGGAGGACTACTTTCGCCGGCCAGCTTTGCCCTTAAATAGCGGAGGTCTCCCCCTTTTCGGGCATTCCCTGAGCGTTCGTGGCTGGTGGCATTTCTCCAGGGCGGCCTGCCACAATTCCTTAGTCCTGCCGCTGGAGGCAGACGTCCTGTTCGTGCTCTTCCCTCGAAGTCTCTTCAGTGAAGTTCCTTGCCTTCCACCATTCATTCGGCTGCAGCTTTTCATCACCGGTGTTCTACGCGGGACGGTCCTATTTTCTTTGCTATTTTTTTTAAACGGAACTGACTGTTGAACCGCTGCATATTTCTCGATGAGGGAAGCCAAAGGACACACGCCCCTTCACGCTTGAGGAGGTGCTTCCTCGCCGAGGAGGTGCTTCCTCGCCGAGGAGGTGCTTCCTCGCCGAGGAGGTGCTTCCTCGCCGAGGAAGCTCCTCCTCGTGAAGACGAGTGAGCAAGGAACCGATTTAAACGGTATTTAGAGGCGAGGTTTCTTCTCATTGGCTCTTTTTCGAGCCGACTTCAGCCATCTTCTGCCACTGAAGGCCAACGAGCCGACTACAGGCCACTGATGGCCTGGTGAAAGTGTCTTCACCTGATTCATTTTCCGGCAATTTCATATAAACATATTTAAAAAATGGCTGCGTTCCCAGCGTAAAAATTTCCCGCTAGAATAAAAAAAAATTCTCGATTTCTCTTAATTCTCTGAAAATGTCCACCATTTCCTTTAAAAAAAAAAACTAGTTCGCCTTACAGGCGGAATATTTTACGTCTTTCTCCTGTAATTGATCGGTTGCTGTTCCTTTATTCTAAATTCGAACGGTTCCTTCTTAATTCATGCTGCAAAGGAAGCCACCCGGAACCTCTCGGGAAGCCACCCGGCACCGCTTGCGAAGCCACCCGGCACCGCTTGCGAAGCCACCCGGCACTTTTAGCAACCCGGATCGTGGAGGACTCAAAATTACCCCCGAGAACCTGGCCATCATGAATTCCTTGCGAAATCCCGATCCCCAGCGCGTCAATTTTTTTTTCGGAGTTATTCTCAGAGGGAACTCTCACATCTCATGGGATTACACGAAAAAGTAAAAAAAAAAACCGATTGGGGGCATTACCACTTGGGGAAATTAGCTGGCTCAGGAGAGAAAGTCTCCATTACGAACTTTTCTCGCTTTGAGCTATTTCGGGGTTTCCTTGGAACGGCGCCTCAAAGTGAGGGAAAAGGAAACATTTCAGCTACCAAGTCTCGATCCTGGTCCTCCCTCTTCTCGACTCGATCCTGGTCCTCCCTCTTCTCGACTCGATCCTGGTCCTCCCTATTCTTTGTCAGCTGACATGCTCGCGTCGAGAGGCAGGGCAGAGTTCTGCAGGTGAAGCCCGTCGTAGATGTGACTAGAGCCATGTCCCAGAGCGATTTGGTTGTAGGACACTCCGCTATGGACGTTGGTTGGGGTTTGCATCACTCGCCTGGGACGTCTTTTCCAGCATGTTGGCTGACGCACGGGTGTTTGGACGCTTTGTTGTTCCTGTACGAGTCCTGCTTCGGAGCGAGTTCGGAGCCTGCATTTAGGATGCGGTCGGTCGTTTGAGACGGTCGGTGGTAGCGGCGACTGTGGTCTTCGAGATCGAGTCTCCAGACGCGATTCTCGTCTTTGGGAATTCCGATGGAGTTGAGGGGATCTCCGGGAAGGCCGTCGCCGGTCCCTTCCGCATCCGTGTCGGCCGCTGGCTCGTCCTCGGGATGAGGATCGTCGAGGGAAAAACCCTCCAAATCGGTCGGTCCCTCGGCTTCAGCCCTTCGTTTCCACCGCGTCACGGTCGTCGGCCGAATGATCACAGCGGCCCATCCCCCGATCCGCCGTTGATGAGGCTCTCCCTCAAAAGTTATGGAGTCCTCTGGCCGCCTGTGGCATTCGTTAAACTTGACTTTGTAGCCGACGAGATGTTTCCCCACAGAAAATAAATGTTCCAGTCCCTCTCAGGCACTTCTTCCAGCTCCAGAAATTAATATGAGAAAGTTGAAGACTTTACCCGGAATCCGCAAATGAGATCGCCTTCGCAGTTGAAACTTTTCCTCTCCGTTCCGAGGAAGTACTGCGGGATCCGACGGAAGGGGAAAAAAAAAATCTCAATTCCCTCGATTGAGAGAACCGAGTCCGCGACTTCGTCCGGTTCGAAATCCGAACGAGACGGTTAATCGAGGGCCATTACCATTTTCATTGTTACCATTATCCTGTTTAGCGTTTTCCGGCTGCAGTCGGAGCTTTACGTGAAGTTGGCTTAAGTTGGCTTATCCACCTGCTGGGGGAAAATCCACCTGTTGGGGCAATGTCCACCTGGTTCCAAATCCGCCTCCTACCTCCTATCGATTTGCCAATTCATAAATTCGTTAAAATGTGCTTGAAATCTGCTCAGGCAAAATTTTTTTGTCACTTTCCGGCCTCTAATTTGAAAGACCCCCCCCCCCGGATATTTCGAAAGATTCCGATCTTACTTTTGGACGGAGCAGCACGTGAGCGGAAATTTTTCGTTCTGTTCGCCAAAAAACGTTCCCGCGCAGATTCAACTCGGAAAATCACCTCGGGACTCGGAATCCGCGAGAATCAGATTATCCCCACCTGGTTCGATGGGAACAAGTAAACAAGCTTTCATGTCTCGCCAGGACTTCAAGGTCTTCCCGGACCTCAAGGTCTCAAGCAAATTTTTCGAAGAACTTTTAATTTCGAAAGTACGACGCATTAATTTTTGCTTTTCGTTTGCTCCAGAAGTCCTTCAAATATTTTAAACGTTGATACATTTTAAAATTAATTAGTTTAAAATTAAAAAAATGGTTACCGAAATACCATCAAATTGCTTCAATGCCGTTACAATTTTAAATCCCCTTAGATTTTGTACATTTTCCTATTTTTAAATACTCTGACTTTCTTTTTTTATTTTTGCATTTTTTAAATGTCCATTATTAAATGTCCTAAGCAAAATAGCATTTCCTTTTCAATTCCGCTTTTTCCCCTAAAAAAAAAACTTTGGTCGGGAGCAGTCAGTGACTTAAGATCCCGTTTTGGAGGCAGTTAAGTCGGTTAAGTTAAGTTAATTTTCTCTCGGAAATCCACCTGTCATTGTGGACTCCGATTCGAGGAAGGTTAATGAGGGTCATTAATGCTGGGTGACGAGTCAATGGAGTACTGCTGGTATCATATCGGGTTGCTCGCCTTGGGGTTATCGAGTCCAGCTGATCTCTGGATTAGGGAAGAGATTATATTAGATTATGATAACGTCGATACGACGTTGCGCTGCATCGCAACATTGTGGCAACATTGTGGCAACATTGTTAAGCTGAAAAATCAGCCTTTCCTCAACGTTGACACGACGTTGTCGTGCCGAAAGGGCCATTTTAATTCGTTCTCGATCCTGACGTACCAGTGAGTGAAAATCGATTTCGCGCTCTCGGACGTGCAATCTTCGACGTGCCAATAAGTGGTTAGTACAAAAGTGTGCAATGGCCAAGATCCATTGCCAACGTCGGCTTCCTTTGGTTTATTGCTCGGAAAATTATCCAAAGTGACGGGAGTCTGCCCGACAAAATTTGATGAGCGAGGGCTTATAAAAATAAATGAAGTTCTGGGTACAGGTACTGGGTACAGGTACTGGGTACAGGTACTGGGTACAGGTACTGGGAATTAGCGCTGAATGCGCAACATATCTTCCTTAACTTTTTGGTTTCGATTTTATTTCCATAACATTTTGTTCCACTACCCGATCCCACCAACAAAAATGGTCATTTAAAATAAAATTGTAATGAAATCGATATAAATAATCCCACCGATCTAGCAAGATAAGATCTAAATCCAGACTTGACAGAAATCTGTCCCTTTCGCTCATCCCCTCAAATGAAATTTACGGCCGGATCGGGCGAGTCCTCGGTTGGGTCAGGTCAGGTCACGTGATCAGGCTTGGTCACGTGATCTTTATTTCTCTTGGCTTGAAAGGGATTTTCGGGGAAGTCTCGGGAGGAAGGGTGGAAAGCCGACATGAAGCCGGTCGGATGATGAAGCCAGGAAGAAGATGAGGCATCGGGGCTTTGCTGGTGGTCTCCCCCGGGGGGGGGGGGGGCTTTGGAAGCAATACGCGACTGAAATGCATTATTCTGTGAC